CTATATATGGAAGTAAAAAAAGTACCTAGTTATATGTATCTTTAATCAAAGAATAAATCTGGATGGTTAAAAAATTTCGGGTTTTAAGTAAAATAATTTTGTCTTCTATGAAAAACTATTTCGACTTTTTTCTCCGAAATTGTAATTTCGGGGCTCCAAAATAATTTTGCGTGCAAGTATATCTGAGTAGTTAAAAAATTTCAGATTTTAAGTAAAATAATTTTGTCTTCTATGAAAAACTATTTCAAATTTTTTTTCCGAAATTGTAATTTCGGGACCCCAAAATAATTTTGCGTGCAAGTATAATCTTTATATACTTATCTTTATTATTTATTTATATTTTCTTGTATTTATTTTAATAAAATTAATATTAAAGTAAAGTTTTTATATAATTTATTAATTTTGAATTTTTTATACATATGTTTTGTTAAGTCACAAATTAACTTGGTATTATAAAAATTCTGTTACAATAAAGAATTTAACTTTGTAATTTGTTATAATTGATCAAGTAGAATTATTGAAAATAATACAATAATTATATAATTTTTTGTTATATTAATTTCAATTCGTACAGTACAAAATAATTTTTCATACTGTACAGTTTATCTGTATACTTGTATTTTATTATACTTATGATTACTCTTTTAACAAGGTAATATCAATATCTATGTTTTCTTTTATACTATTAATTATACTGTTAATTATACTTGTAAATATAATAATTTCTAAATAATTTATATGATAATTATAGTAATAAATATAATATAAACTAAAATAATTAAGAAAATTATAATATAATAATAATAAATAAATAATAAAGATATATTAATAAATAAATAAGAAATAAAATTAATTAAATTTTTTAATTTAAATTACTAATTTTTTTTTTGTTTTAGTAAGGTCTTGTCTCAAATTTATTAATTAAAAAAAGAAAAAATCTTTTACATTATTATTACATAATATAAAACTTAAACTAATTCTATATGTTTATTTAAAGATAAATAGAGACATGTCTACAACCTATTGCCTAACAATAAAAATTGTCCTTAGTATGTTAAGACTTTGCTGAACAATCTATATTATATAAATTAATTTAATTTATACCATATTTAATAACATTGTGTATATGCATACTAATAATATTAATAAGCTAAAGCCTATTATTTCTATTTAATGGTCTTAAATTATTAATAATATTATTATTATCTATATATATATTAATAATTTGTATATCCATAATTGAAGTGATCAATAAAATTTTTTTTTTGTTTATTGTTTTTAATACCTACTGATTTTTCCCAGTTTCTAATTGTGTTAGATCTAAGTATCCAGATATTTTTATATATAAAAGTTTTGAAAGCTGCAAATAATTTATTAATAATTTGTTTGGCTATATTTGGCTCCTTAATAATTGATTGAATTCTGTTGATTAAGGAGATTAATATTAAACCCAAAATGAGATCCACAAAAGAGAATTTATCAAGATCTCAAATAGAGATATCTGACAATAGTTCAAGTTCTATTAATTTACAGAATTTAGCATGGAGATTATCACCTGTTTTGTTTTTTGTTATATTAATAATTTTATTAACCAAAGTATTTATAAAGTTATATTTGTACATATTTATATCTATAGAATTTTTTGAACATGTAAACACATGTAATTGACTTTCTTAGGTAAAGTTATATCATATACAAATGACATTGCTATAAACAGAAGGAAATTTATTCTTTAATTTTTTTAAAGTAGGAAGTTCATTATTAAACAATTTTATATTATATACTCTTAATTTGTTTTTACAATTGCTTATATACTGTTGATCTATAATAATTAATTCAAATTACTAATTTAAATTAAAAAATTTAAAAATTAAATAAATTAAAAAGTAAAATTTTTAATATTTATAAAAAAAAAAATTTTAATTAATAAACTTAAGATTTTATTAAAATAATAAAAATAAAAAATAAAACATAAATAGAATTATTATTTAAAAATATATTTAAATTAAATATTATAAATTTATAATTATATATTTTTTTTTTTGAATTTTTTTAATTCAATATATAATATTACTACTATACTTTTTTATTTGTTATTAATATGAGATAAATATACTTTGACTTTTTAAAAGTGATCTATAAGAATTATATTTATTATATTTTAAATTCCTTCTTTCTATTAAATATTTAATAAAATCTAACTTATATAATAGATTTAAAAAATATATTCTTAATTTTACAAATTAATTTTATTTATAATGTTACACTGCATAGTATCGCCAATTTTAGAAATAATTTTCACATGATAAAACCATTCAGAACAATATTTACTAAGTATCAATTGTATTCAGTATACATATTTAGTAACAATATGCAACAATAAATATTGTCATACATACCGACATTGTTACACAGACCGAAGATCATTTGAAGCGATCCGCCACTTTTTTGCTTTTAGGAGAAATCAAAATATATTTTAATATCAACTTTCTTTCTTTTAATATGTTCTTTTACAAAAAAACCAACAATTAAAATAATATATTTAAGGTTAAATTAATAAGTAAGCAATATTTATATTATATATAGGAAAAAATATAAAAAAATAAAATAAAAAACGCATCAATACATAACTGCTGTTTCATGCAAAAAGAAACTATTATCGGGCTGCTTATTTATAAAAAGACCTTTTTCCTCTCAGTTAACTTTCCAAAATTTAAGGGTTTATCACAAATTCCGGTAAATGTTGTGTTATTCACATGATCCTTTATCATAGTTGTACCAATTTATTTATATATTACACATGTATTACTAATTATAAATTTTAAAAATTATAATTTTCCTTTTATAGGTGATCTTTATAGAGTTATATAAAATATCCTTTCTTTATCCAAAATACCTAGCCCTAATTGACTAGTATGTCAATAATGTCTATATCCCAATATACTAACATTTCGTCACAAAGAAAACACATATGTTATTGGGTGGGATGTAACATGTCATTTCCAAATATGATGGAAATCCAAACACATCTTAAAAATCTTCACATAGAATTTTTGGATAAAAATGCAAATTCATTTCAATGTTATTGGAAGGATTGTAACGCATCCGGTTTTGAATCGAAACATAAATTAGTCCAACATATACAAGAGAAACATTTTAATTTGTCTAATATTTCTCACAGACAAGATTCCCCAAATTCGTTTAGGGCAAGTTATCTTTTATATTGTTATCACATGATTTTTAGAGACATACTGATGGTGGACTGCGCCAACAGAATCAAGATTTTAATCGGCCTACTAGACCGCCTCAGCGTTACGAATTATTTACGAATAATCAAGTTGATTCATCAGGAAAATTCAATTTGGTTTGTGAAAGTCTCATATTCATAATAAATAATAAATAATAAATTTTTAATTTTTGTAATCATTTAAATTAAAGCAAGCAAATGAAGTCATAGTAATTGATGACGATGAATCAGAAAAGAATTCCAATTCAATACATAAAGAAAAAAGTGTGCATAATATTAATACTACTGAAGAACAGGTTTGTTTTAATTCGTTCATGATTCTTTTTGTAAAAGTTCTGTTTAAATTATTATTTTAATGACATATCTTGTTTTGGCAGAAGTCTACTAACGACTCAAAGACATCACCAACTTCAAACAATATGGGAGAGTCGAATAATCGACAAGAAAATGAAATAACACAAGAAACCAAAATGCAGATATCAAAATTACAATCTACTAATGGTATGTCGTCAAAACAGCCACCACTCTCGAGTAAAAGACATACATTTCGTGCAGTTTATCCGAATGAGACCTCGATTGAATTTGTGAACCAAAGTCAGACAACAAATATTAATTTAACAAATCAACAGAGTAATACGTTAAATCAAATGTCACATACTAGTCTTCCTTCACTGATGACTAAATCATTGACATCAAATCCGTCAACTTATAATATAACTACATCAAATAAAACATCAAATACATCGGATGATTCACATTTAGAAATTATTGAATCTATTTTGTCAGGTCCAGTAAGTATAAATAGAAATAAATTAAATTTTATTATGAATCATATTGAAATTTTTATTAATCATTTTTTAGTCACATTCAGGTAGTTCATTTGAATCCTTGACTATTGAGCAACAAAACAAAAAATTGCTGCATATAGTATCAGTACAAGCGCAAGAGATAAAAAAGTTAAAAATAAAAAATGCAATTCAAGAAGAGCTAATAAAAAAAGCTGAATCAGATCTTGAATTTCAAACGAAAATTACTAAACTTTTACAAGATCAAAATCGCCGTTCTGACGATAAACTAAGATCGATGTGGGTTGAGATGTTATGTAAAAAACTTCGTATTCGTGAAGAAGAACATATAAGTTCGAAATCTTTTAAAAGACAAAAACTAGAGGACCAAGCGAACTCTAAAGATAGCAATGGTAGAAAAGATATGGATATAGATCCTTGGGAGAAACCATTATCACCGAATACTAATATTTCAATAATAACCCAGGCTTATATTTGCGAATGGGAAGGATGTGGAAAGTCTTTTAGAACCAAATTAGCATTAAAAGCACATGTACCATCCGAACATCTTTATGGATCAATCTTGCATATTAAAGTAGACAAAATTAGTCCTGGCCCAACCAACACAACAAATACAAATGTTTGAAATATTATATATATATATATATATAGTACTAAAATATATGGTTATGAATTTTTTGGGGGGAGGAATTTCATTTAGTACGTTCATAAAATTTGTATTTAATACGGGATATTAAATGATTTTATCACATGATAAAAAATTTTGGTCACAAATGTTTAATGACGCAATCTTTAGTCATATATTTTCGTTGTCATTTGTTTTTAACGTTTTCTAAAATCATTATTATATTAATTATATTAATATAACTTTATTTTTTTTTGTTGTTAGATTAAATAAGTTATTGCTAAAATTAATCATCTTAAAAAATTGGTCACGAATATTTTAAGATGATTTTTATAAATATTCTAAACAAATAGGTTTTCTAATAAGATAATAATATTTATTTCACAAAAAAATTTTATTTTCTTTATTTTTAGTTATTAAAATATTCATTATATTATATTATGTTTCACCTGCTCCACCGAAGATTGCTAAGATTACTACAAAGAGATTTAGAATGTCAAGATATAAATCAACTGCAGCCATAATATATTCTAAAATAATAATAAAGAAAATAATATAGATGTGAATAATAAAACATCAAGAATGCATAAAAAAGACTTGCAAAAAACTTGAAATAATTAAAATATTTACCTTCAGGACTCATTCTTTTAAATATCATATATGTGTCATAAATAATATATGCACTAAATAAAAATGCAGCTATAACACTAATAACAATATGATATCCTCTATCATATGGGAATAACCAACCAATTATTGAAGCAAATATTATAATCCAAAGTCCAGCATATAGGAAAGGCCCCCAAGATGAAAAATCAAATTTTGATTGTAAAGTGAAGATTTGTAAAGCTAGAAAAACTCCAAATGTTATTATGAAAGATTGAAGAACCACTCTAGCATTATACATTGATACTATTGAAAAAAGGAAGTGTAAATATCAAATAGAATTAGAATTAAAATTAGAATTGGAAAAGAAAATATAAAGGAAAGGAAAGGAAAGGAAAGGAAAGAATTATAAAAATGAAAATTGTTAATGTTGTTAATATTGTTACTTACCAACTGCTCCTATACCATAAGAGATAAATATTGTAAATATAAATAAAAGGAATAAATTCAATGGATACGCTTTGCGTTTCCAAAACAATAATATTAGAGATATGAAAGTCATGATCCATGAAATTAAGAGAAGCCAAGTACTAGAAAAATTCATAAAGAAACAAAATAAATTAAATTATTCAAATAAATTATCATTAATATTATTGAATTAAAGATTGCTTACTTGTTTTGAACATATTCTTTAACAGGTTCATGAAACATAAACCATACAATAAAAATAATTGTACATAATAATTGAAGGGTGAGAAGGAAATAAACTTTCCGTACAAAAGCTAATTTAAAATTGAGAAAATTAATTTTCAATTAATTAATTAATTAATTAATTCATTTAAAGAAAAAAAAAAAAAGATTTCTCCAACTTACCCATTCTAATTTGTCTATCAGTTTGTAAATTTGTTTTTATTTCATTAATCCTTCCATTATCCAAATTATTCTCCACACCAGATAATCCAGCTTCAAACATAAGTCCATCATTTGTTTGCTTTCTTTGGTTATGTTGTTGAAAATTTTTATAAGATTCGTTATTATAACTTGGTGGAGGAACATTATAAAATGAAGCAGCAGCTGTTTCTTGTCCATGTTGTTGTATTTCAGGAAAGTTGTGTGGTCCTATAGCTCCACGTGATAATGGTTGTCCATTCTCACCTTTGGTTGTATTATTATTATTGTTATTATTATTTCTATTATTATTATTATTATTATTATTATTATTATTAGTCATTTTATTATAATTTTTTTATTCTCTTGAAGAGCAAATTTAAACTAAAATATTAGAAAATGAATAAAAAAAAAATGATAATCAAAGAGGCCTGCCTCCAGTTTAATATTTTTATACAAGCTTTTGAGTACTGGTTTATTTTTTACAGTCGTTATGTCTTATATATATATATTTTTTTTTATTTTGAAAAGAAAAAGAAAATGTGTTGCAAATGTTATTCTATACTTTTTTTTTTTTTTCAAAAGTTCTACAAAATGCACGATAAAAAGCAAAGCAAACGGGTAATTATTGTGCAACAAATTCTATTATCTCACAAAGAATAATACGAGTTTACTAAAACTCGAATAAATTTCGAAACCTATCCTGCTACCCTGCATTATTCAGAATTAAATCCATTCGCATTAATCATTTCTATAAATATATTTGGCTAAATATTTTAATTCATATCACACACGGATATTTATAAAATCGAAATCGGAGATAATTAATTTATTTGGCGATTTATACCAAAAAGTGCTAATACTGTTTCCGATCATGAGATTATAATTTGATAAACTAAAAAGGCGAAAAAGGCTAAAAAGGGTTATTTCTATTCAAAATTCTTTAATGATCTGCTTACATGACATCATATGTAAATGAAATAATGTTTATAGAAGATGCAAATATTCTCAAATTAATCATAATTGATCATAATAGTAATTAAATTCAACTGAGAAAAAAATATGGTTATTGCTAAAGCGCACCAGTGGTGATTGTAACCAATTAGTCAAAATTACTTTTCCACGTGGGTTTGATTTTGCCCAGTAGTGCAAACGAAGATTCTGGATCAATAACTAAATATTCCTAATTATTAAGATAAATTGGCTCAATTAACGTTGTTTTTAAAGAATTAACCAAAGATTTTATTAAATTATTTGTATTAAGTATGAAAAGTATGAATATGATTCACAAATAAGAGTGAAAAAGGGGAAAGAGAGAAATCTTTAAAAAAAAAAAAAATGGATAAAAATACGCGTAATTTAATATGATAAGGTTATGAAGAAAATAAGAAAATTTCGGAGACAGAATGAAATAATAACGTAATTTGATGACTTTATTTTAATATGCCTAAGTTAATTAATTAAATAATAAATGAAATCATCTTTTTTTTTTTTTTACAAAAAAAAAAAAAAAAAAAACCGAAAATACTTTATATTTCATACCCAAAATTTTTTTCTTCACGCTTTAGATTTCAAAAAAAAAAAAATGGATATTTTCCATGATGTGAATAAACCTCAGATTGAGATTATTGAACTTACTCATGAAAAGATTAGATTTATTCTTTCAAATGCAGATTTAAGGTAATTTGAAAATTTAGAAAACTTGAATATTAAATTTTGCTCATTCCTAACTTCTTTTTTTTTTCAGTTTGGCCAATTCTCTAAGACGTATTATGTTGGCAGAAGTTGCCACCATAGGTAAAAAAATATTTTAAAAATAACGATAATAACAACAACAACAAATAATAATAATATAAATAATAAATACAAATTGTATAAATTATAAATGATAGCAATTGAATTGGTAGAATTTCATATAAATAATTCGGTTTTGAAAGACGAATATATCGCACATCGTTTAGGATTGATTCCATTAGAGAGCACCGAAACAGAAGTTCTTAAATTTCCAAGAGTACAATATATATATATATCAAATTATTATTAAAATTTTATTTAAATAAATAAATCTAAAGTAATTATATCAATCAAAAATTATTTTTATAACGAAAGGAATGTTCTTGTCTTAAAGGATGTAAATCTTGTACAGTAGAATTGACTTTACATGTCAAATGCTCTGAAGAGAATGATACAAGAGATGTTACTAGTAGAGATCTTATTAGTAATGATCCTAGATTTGTACCAATTCATGAAGGTAATATTAAATTTATTAAGTTATCGATTTTGTATAAATCGTTTTTTTAGAGCGAATTTAATTAATAATTATTAATAATAATTATTAATTAGGTCCTAGAGATCCGGGAATTATGATAACTAAACTTTGTGTAGGCCAAGAAATTAAAGTCAAATGTTTAGCTAAGAAGGTACAATTTATTATTATTGTTAATTCATTACACTTTATTATTATTATTATTAATTCATTATTTTATTACTTTATTATTGATTCATTATTTTATTATTAATTCATTACTTTATTATTAATTCATTATTTTATTATTAATTCATTATTTTATTATTGTATAGGGTATTGGGAAAGAACACGCAAAATGGAGTCCTTGTTCTTCCATTGGTTTCGAATATGATCCGTACAATAAACTTCGACACACTCAAGTTTCGAAAAATGAAAATAATGAAGATTGGTACATGCAAGTTTATTTTAAAACTCATTTTTTAGTTTTTTGAATTATTGTTTTATATTTTGAAAACCATCATTTTAGGAAAACTAGTAAAAATGCAGTATATGATTCTCCTCTAGGAGATGAAGAAGGTATTTATGTAATGTAATTGATTATTTCAAATATATATATATATATATATATATATATATTTATATATATATATTTTTTAGTATTCCAATTTTTAGTGACACCTAATAAATTTTATTTTGAAGTTGAGGTAAAATTTATTTTTCTCGTCATCAAGAATTGGATAAAATTAATAAAATTAGTTAAAGAAAAAAATAACATTTTAAATTAAAATTTTTTAACATTAGTCTGTTGGATCAATGAAACCCGAAGACATTGTTTATAATGGTATAAAAAAACTTATAGAAAAAATTTCATCAATTCAAATGGGATTATCAATTGGAATGAATGCACAGAATGAGAATAATGTTACTTCTCCGTCTAATATGAGTGGTGTTGAAATAAATATTCTTGATGATGATCAAATATCTCGTGATAACCAAAAAGGATCATCATCATTATCAAGCGAAGAAGATATTTGGATATCATCATCATTCAATAGAAGTGGATTTAATTGGTCATCTAATCAAAATAATCGAAATGAAATTCAAACAAATTCGATATCACTTAATGGAACAATAAATTCTACTCTTTCTTCAAGTTCTAAAGGAGAAGAATTATGGATAAGTTCGTCTCCAAACGGTGAAAATGAAATGTGGACAAGTATTTCACCAAATAATAATAATAATAATAATAATAATAATAATAATAATAATAATAATAATAATAATAATAATAATAATAATA